TAGTTGGTCGGCTGATGATATAATCTCAGACTTGTTGTAAAAGTTGGTTAGTGGGAAGAATGGTTAGAGATTTTTTGGTCATTTAATTAATTTTTACTTCTAACCATTTATTTTTTACTTCTTACTTTTGAGAATGGTTTGGTTAGGGGCTGATTAGTTTTTTAAAGGAACTACCGACAAAAGAGGCAGTTTTGTAAGGAGAATTTAGGACTTAGTTTTTTTTGATTTCTCGATAAATTTTTCAATTTTTTTGATGTTGCTTTCCGGATAAGTGGGCTTTGATTATTTGCGGTTGCTTAGCGAAGTAAACCAAACAAATATAACAGATATTTAAGTTTTCCTTTTGGGGATGGTGGTTGATTTGCTCTTCTAATTCTTGTTTCTTCTGAAAATATTTTTGGGCTGGGCTGGGTTTTGGCCGAAAGGATTCTAAGCCAGTAATATTTTCCGTTCCGGTTTTGCCCCAAGGAGTGGGGAATATTTCTCTAACCTTTAAGAATGTTTGGAGTTCAACTAAACTTGCTATTTTTAAGCCTCATTCTTGATTAGCACTTCCTTTTAAAGTATACCTAACTCCAGTTTCATGAAGCGAGCCTATGCCGACGACAAATCTGCCCTTGCTATGTAATTCGCCGACTTTTTCTCCGCATTTATTTACTAATCAGCAGGATTTTGGTAATTCTTTAATTCAAATATAACGGTGGATACCACGAGCAGTTATTACATACCGACTAACTTTTATCCGTTCTTGGGCTCAGATATCGTCTAAATCAATCGCAATAAAGTAATAATTCTGACTAATCTTTTTGCCGGTTCGGAGGGAATACTCCTGATTAGTGGTTAATAGTTCCTCAATACTTCTTCTTTCTAAGTAATAGGATTGGCCGTAATTATTCCAATTCTTTACCAAGGGCTTCTTAAACTTGGTGGGTAATAGAATGTAATTCTTGGCTAAATGTTTTAAGTATTTTCTTTCGGTAGGTTTTAAGATTGATTTCATTTCTATATGTAATGGTGTTGCTTATTAGGGAGAAGAGAGAAAAACAATGTAAATTCCAATCTACCACTAGTAAAAATTGGATAGAGGAGATAAAAAAAAAAATTTCCCTCTCCTCTGGTCAACTTTTCTTGTTTTTCCTAAGGAGAGTCGGAACTCCTTAACTAGTGGCACCTGAGTTTAACCTCCCAGGGCAAGGCTTCCAGTCCTTCTTTTCCATAAAGGACACTAATCGGCTCCAGTCCGCTTAGCATCTCCCCTAAAACTGTCTATTTCCATAATTTACGAACCTCTTTTCATTCGGCTGATTCTGTCACTTAGATAGTCCTAGTTTTTCGCACCAAAATTCCCAAGGTGGAGGGCTTCCTTGCCAATAATTGCTTACTGGTGGGTCTTTTCCGATTGGGTTCGGGTTGACCGCTTTTTGATTGTCCCCCTGTTAGAGACGGTTCCCCGCCAAAGGTTTAGCCTTCTTTGGGGAGTATTTTTTTTTTTTTTTTTTTGGCGGGAGAGAAGAGTAGAATTCTCGTTTTTTTTGTCAAAATTAGGAATTAGCCACTTTCTCTTTTTGGCACTCACTGTCCTTTTTCATTTTTGATAACTTGGTCTTGGGCGGTCAATTCAAACTTAATTTCTCGGTAAGTTTGGGGGATAACTAATGGTAATTGCCGGGCGGGGAGGATGGCGATTTCTTGGCGGTAATAGGTGATTATTCCGTCCTGGATTAACTTAACAAAGACCTTAATTCGCTGGGAGTAAAGAGTAAAGGTTATTCACTGGTTTTCTCCTAAGATAAAGCCTTCTCCTCCGTAGTTGGTCGGGAACTTGTTCTCTACCTCATATAATTGGTCGGGTTCAGTTTCTTTTATCCGTCAAAGACGGTTAGCTAAGTAGTCGTATTTAAATTTCATGATTTTATTTCTTTTCGGCTCAGATAAATAAGCGGGGTCGGTTTTGTTTGATGCCTAAGTCTTTGGGATTGAGGATTGACATTTGCAGTTGGTAATTAGTTAATAAAGCAAGTAAAAATTTACTACTTTTGTAAAGTAAGAAATTAGGCACATTTTCAAGTAGTAAATATTTAGGCTGCTTTTTCTTAATGATGGTTAGTAAACTGGTTAATTCTTTACTTACTCCTTGGGTGGTTGGTCCGGCTCGGGAATAAGGCTGGCAAGGAAAACCCGCACACAATAAGTCAAAATCAGTTTTGATAATTTGTTGTTGTATTTTCTTATGGTTAATATCTCCTAATAGGAAAGGAGTAAGCGGGAAATTTAATTGGTAGGTTGCTTGAGAGTTTTTATTGATATCCACGGCTAAAACACAATTATTTTCTAATCTTTTTAGGACTAAATGAAATCCACCTATTCCGCAGAACAAGTCCACAAATTTTAGATTACTAATACGTGGTAAGAAGTGATGGAGAGCGGTTAAATTAATACTATTTCCTAACAGAGAAGCAATTTTAGTTAAAGAATAGTTTTCAGGAAATTGATAGTTAACTGGAAAACTTTGTAAACTTAATAATTCCGCTTGGTTTAAATAACGATATTTTTGTTGAGCATGATCGTAGATAATGGGAATATTAGGAATGTAAGTTAAACAAGGATAATAATCGGGGCTTTTAACTCTGATTCCGGATTGTCTAATAGTGATAATTCCTTTCCGGATATCCTGGTAATCTTTTCAGTTTTGGAGTTCTACATTAAACTTATTCTTGCGCGATAAAAAAGGTACGGTGAACCGAGAAGTGGCACCATTTTCAGTGAGGTATTGCTCTAAGAGTGGTAATTTATTTAGATGGTTCATGATTTTCTTTTGCTTCGCCGAAACTTTGTTTTCTAACTTTCAAAATTATTTCTAAAAATTGGATGGTTTCTAAAGCATCCGCGATTAGTTCTAGTTCGGAGGGGGTGAAATCGTAGCGGACAGTGGGGCAATAGGTCTTCCTGAGTAGTTGGAGTTTTTTAATTAGTGCTTGGTAGTTAGTCATGGGATTAAATGATTTGCAACTCCTTAACCTTAAAAAAGGTGCCATTTTGGTCTTGGTTGGGGAGTTCTTGATAAGTGATTAAAACTTGGCGATTGATAAAGTTATGGGGGGAGTTAGTGAGAGCTTGAAAAGTGGCGGTGGGAAGACTGAAACTAAAGGCATAAAAATAGCGAGCAGGCATTCCGACTAAACTGAGCCGGAAGTAAGGGTTAGCATTTTTATCTGCTTGGGGTTCGATATCTAAGATAGTGGCTTTGATTTGGAGTTGATTCATTAGAGTTCAATCTTTATTTTTGGTTTCGGTTTTTGGCAGGGCGGACAAGCTTGGCCGGTAATGGTTCTGGCTTTTCAGGAGAAGAAAACTATTTCTTGAACTGGTCGGAGCTGTTTACATTTAGGACATTTGATTTTGAGCAAGTAAAGGAGGGAGATAGTGGCTAAAAGTAAGCCCAAAGTGATTCCGAACAGGAGAGGGAGTAAAATGGTGAGCATAAGTTTTTATAATTTCCTCCTGACCCAACCTCATATCGGAGGGAGCATCCAATTAGGGGGTCAGGAGTAGAAGAACTAACCGTTAATGGTTAACTAATTGGACTCAATTGTTTCCGGTAGCCACTTCGTTTACTACCGGCGAAGCACAATGACTTTTCACAAAGATCATTGGCTTTCCAGCAGCTTTTTAGGAAAAAACTACCAATCAGTGTCTCTGATTCTACATGATGGTTCTTCGTCAAGTGTCGGAGGGATAGTTGAGGGTTCAATTATTTAAGTATTGGTTGCGAGCCCGGATTTCACAGCCACAGAGACCGGTTAGTTGTTTAGTGATTTCGTGTTTGGCGTCATGAGTGATGGGGTAGGAGTAGAAGTCTTGGCTTTCTTCCAAGTCATAGTCTTGGGCGTAAGTGTCTAAGTTGGCGATAAAAGACCGCACGACGGGGGCGTTTTTTGGGGTAAATTGGAAGTGGAGAACGGGTTTAGTTTTAAAATGGTGATAGACTAAGTTGTCGCAAGTGCCATTTTCTTTAAAAACCTGTTCTTGTTCTAAGGGTAAGTGGAGGAATTCGGCTTTACTACACAGCAGTAGTAAACGGGTGATGAGGAATTCTTGAAAATCATGCTGCACAGGGTTATTTTTTGGTTTTTTGAAAAGGTAAACTTCTTTACGAACTTCTTTGCTGGCTAGATTTAGTAAAGATAAAGGGTTTAAAGAGCGAGTGCCTAAGCGGTAGTTTTTTTTGATGAGGACTGGTTTAGCACATTGACCCACTAGTTTTTCGTGAGTGCGGTAGAAGTAAGTGGTGATTTGGTTTTGGTAGTCATACCGACGAAAAATAGTTTGCTGATTATTTAGCGGTTGCTGGGTAATTTGGTCGAGTTTGCTTTTACCAATTAGTTGAGCCGTTCTTTCCTCATAATCATACAAGTTCAAAAAGAACCGGTAAGTTTTGTGATTGTCTTTTAGTCCGTGTTGAGCATAGAGGGAGCGGAGGTGGAAGGATTTGGAGAGATATTTGGCTAAGTATTTGGAGATAGTTTTTTTACCGGGCGAACGTGATTCAACTCGGCCATAAGGTCATAATTTAGAGATATAGGCTCGGCAATTTCAACAGGATTTAAAGTCCTTGGTGAGGGTGCATTGATGAGAGTAAGGTACGATGGGAGTGCTTAATAAGTGAAAATGTCAAACTCCATTCTTTTGGAGTTCCGAAACTACTACTCATTTTCATTTGGAAGGTTTTCATAAACGACGAACCCGACGTAAAAAAAGAGCTAAGTAGTAGTTAGCCAGAGCATGCTGTTGCACTTGGTCCGAAACTTTTTCTACTTTTACTTTTAAAGGCTCTGCCTCGGGGTCAAAGTTTTGGGCTCAGTCTTTGAGTCAGTTATTTTTTTGAGCGATTGGTTGTCAGCAAGAGTCGTTAGCAGTTCAATTAGTGGTAAAGGTGGAGTAGTTATCGTGGGTGGTGTTGAAGGTGAGGGTTAAGAATAAAAGGGGCTGATCCGCTTGGGTGCCTTCGAAATTACTTTCTACTTTATCTAGAAAGCGAGTGTATAATTTCTTTTCTTTGGAGTTGAAGAAGGAGAAGTAAGTGCAGTTTTGGGCATCTTTTAAGCAGTCGTCTTTTGGTTTAACCGGTTTTGGTTCTGAGATAGATTTAGTTTTCTTTTGACCGAGATAAAAAGATTGAGCGGAGTTTTTAGATAAGGTAACTGAGATGCGGTTAGTGCTTTCAATGTGTTTGGTGGAGACTGATAGGACGGAAAAGGAAGTGTGATCTTGAACTAAAAATGATTTGAGATCTGATTTGGATACCCGCTTTATTTCGGCAAGGTCATTCAATAGTTTTTTAGGAGATTTAAAACCTGTCGTTATGTTTCCATTAAGCAACAACTTTACCTCAAACTTCTTTTTCTAGTAAGCAAATTAGAACATTTATAGCATCCTAACTACTTTTTTAACTTCCTAACTTCACCCTTCTAATCTATATATTTTATTTTATTTTATTTTAGTAGATATTCAGCCGAGATATAAAAAGTAGATATTAACCAATCCTCCTAATCTCTCCTATTTTAAGGGGCTTAAAACTTCTTAATAATGTCTCTTACTCCTAATCTTTTAAAAACCTGAGCCGACATCCGAAACAACCCCGAACACTGAAATCAAAAATTTTCCCTGATTGAGTTCAAAGACCCCCAAGGTAAAATCTACTGAACCAAAGACTATACCTTTATCCCTTACTGAAAAAGATATAAAGAGGCTAAGGACTGAATAAAAAATACTAACTTCCCCGAATATAATTGTAAAATAGGTTGGAATGCTAACCACGAAATCCTTTTAGTTACTCAAAATTATTTTGGCTCCCAAAGATTAAAACAAGAAAAAGAACAGGAATTATTAAACAAAATCAGAAAAAAATTACACCAAGCCATCAATCAAGGAGAATATCAAGAAGCCGAATTAAAACTAGCCTTAAAACTAAAAACTTATGAAGAACTTTATAATTTCCCTTATGGTCATTTATTTAGTGAAGAATTAGCCGAATGGAAAAAAATCTACCAAAACCCCGAAGTCAATAATATCTCTTATGATTTATCCCGTTCTGATTTAGTTCTCTTATGAAAGAAACAACTTTATTTTATCTCTTCTTTTACTTACACTAATAATTATAAGTTAACTGTCGAAATCAGAGCTAGAAAGTGTTTATTATCTCTCGATTATCGAGATTGAATTACCAGTCCAGGAGCAGGAGTAATTAATCAGGCTCCGAAATTAATAAAGGACTGAACCGATAAACCCAAGCAAGACAAAAAAGGGAGAAACCTATTAGACGAACAATACCGACTTCATTATGATTTTTGTGGAGATTTAGGAATTAAGAAGATAGAACAACAAGCCTTTACCTCTTATCAGCCTAAATTTCAATTATTTCGAGCCCAAGTGAGGTATGATGGGGCCAAAAGAAATATTACTTGAAGTGAACAAGTCCCCACCGGTCGAAATGCTGAACCCAAACAATTATCTATTCCTAGTGATGTTAAATTAAGTAAGTTTGGAGAAAAGGAAGTTAATGAGGCTAGTAGGGGTTGATTAAAAGAAACAGCTCTAATGACTTTAATAAAATTGAGAGCCGTGGTGGATAGTGCTGGGGCTTTTCGACAACTGGGACAAATGCTGTTAGATGCTAAGATGGTTTTAACTATTGGACCCACCGAAATGACTGATTTAAACAAAGCCTTTTTCAGTAAAATGGAAGAACATGAAGAAGTGTTATTTCCCAACAATCCCACTTTTACTAAATGATTAAAAGACCAACCCCATTTATGAGACCATACCACTTTCCAATTTTACTTATTTAATAAAATCACCATGACGGCTAATGGTCGGTATTTGGGAATAGTAGAAAAAGATGGAAAATTTATCCTGCCTTATAAGTTATTCATTAATTATTCCCCTGGCAATCTTTATTATCGGTGAGAGTTTGCTTATATTACGGTTAAATGTGAGATAAGCAACGAAGGAAGTTTTGAAGACTGAACCAACCCAGCCCGAGTTATGAGAGGCTTTAACATTAAATTGGGAGGGAAAATATTAGCTTCGGGGGGTTCGTTTGGTTTTGGGATGAATTGGGCTGATACAGGAGAAGAGGCTGGCAAGATTAAATCCGGAGACGACCCCCAGGCTGAACAAGAAGCCCAAACCGAAAGAATGTTTAAGAATACTTTTCGGAACTTTAATGATAAAAGTATTGAGCCTTCCATGTTTAATGCTAATACGATAGATTTTCATTATAGTTTAGGGGAGTTTTTTAATCGGTTGACCGACCCTATCTTTTTTTATCGGGTCGAGATTAGTGAGTTATTGTATAATCGGTTAAATTGGGCTAATAATAAAAGTAATCAATTGAACTTGCCCTTATCCTGAAAAGAAATTGGGACTTGAACCCAACGACCAGGTCTGTGAAAATGAAGTCAGGTTTATTTACAAAAAGATGCTAATAACTTCTTTACTAATCTAATGAATAGAGACTATTGGTTAGATGATGGAAGTGAGTTAACTAATCCTAAATTAACCTTTGCCCATGCTAGTAATCATATTCAAATTGGAGGTAATGCCTGAAATATCAGCAGTGCCGAGGAAGAGTTAATAGAAAAGAGGGAAATTATTGAAGAAGATAGAAAAGTTGCTAGTGGAGATGTGAACCAAAAAGCATGAGGCCACGGAACCTGAATTAGACCAACCAATTCTGCTGAAATGAGTAATTTTTTAACTTTGGGTTCTCCTTTTTCTCACTCCGACCCTAATAATGGTTTCTGCTGAGGTTGTTCTGGTTATGTTGGCTCTCCTGGAACTTATACTCCTAGCCAAGATACCGAGATTGAATTTGTTCTAGATAAAAGTAATACTGGTAATAGACAAGTAGCAAGTTGTAAAGCAGGAGTAAGTTATCAGGTAAGAGTAGAACAAGTAGGTAATGAATTACAAGTCTTTTTCAAATCAAGGGAGGAAAAAATTACTTATGAAACTAAAATCAACAAAAACCCTAATGATATTAAGAATGAAATTGACCAAGAGGCTTTGGAAAATGAGGTGGAAGATGAAATAGAAGAAGAATTTGAGGAAGAAAACGAAAACGAGATGAAAGAACAATTAGGTAAAGAAAGAGAAAAAGAAGCCGAAGTAGAACAGGAAGAAGAGGTTGAGCAAGAAAAAGAAGAGGAACAGGAACCAGAAGAAGAAACCGAAAAAGAGGATGAGAAAGAGACTGAGCAGGAGAAAGAAAAGGAAAAAGAACCAGAAAAGGAAGATGAAGAAGAGAAAGAAAGTGAGGAGGAGGGAGAAAATGAAGGGGAAGAAGAGGACGAATTATAAAAATATGAATAAAAAATGTAATAATTGTCAAAAAGATTTAAATAGAGTTAGCATAAGTAAATATAATGAGGATAAGGATTTATTAATCTGTGTTCAGTGTTATTATTTAGAAATAGAGAAATATAAGGGTTATGAAGTGAGCCATAATTGCCTTTATTTAAATGGGAAAGTTGATGGAAGCACTGAGGGTATTGTGGTGATTGGGGGAAAAAATTAGTTAATTATGTTCTGTTTTAAATGTGGAGGAATTACCGAAAATGATAAATGTAGAAGGTGTGAAGGAGAGAATAATAACTATTCAAGTTTGAGCTCACTTGACTTATCTCCAATTTGTTTCGGCTTTTTGCCAATTGATGAAAGTTTCAGCAGGATAATAATGGCTATGGGTCAACTTTTTAATGATGACCGAAGGAAATATAAAGGTTATTGAGTTTATTTTTACCCTGATGAATTTGAACCAGTTGGAGATAAGAAAATGATATTTTTACATATTCACTTTTTTAACGGTGAAGGAGAAATAAGACTATATTTATCGGACTCAAAATATTTAGACATAGAAGAGAAATGAGGCACTGTCCCTAATCATTATCGAACCAAAATAAGAAAGTTTGTGGAAAAATATAAACAGGAAATTATAAATAAGATAGAAATTAAGTTAAGAGAAATTAGGGAAAAGATAAAATAATATTATTATGGCAAGACTACAAGAAATTCTCCAACCAATAGAAATTAAAAGAGAAAGGAAACAACCTCCAAAAGCAATTAGTTGTCGAATAAGTAGGGGTAAGTTAATAACTCAACTAGATGATGGAAGGGAAGTAAGTATATTAGTTTCTTTATTGACTAAATGAAGTGTGTTGGGGGAAAATGTTAAGCCCGAACAATTAAAAAGAAACGAGATTAAAGGGGGAGGGAATATTATTTATTTTCCCGATATTGATGAAGCCTTGCCAACTTGAAAAATTATTGAAGGTTTATTTAGTTGTAATTAATAACTTTCTTTTGGTCTTAAAATAAAAATCTAACCCATAGGACAAAAACACTACTTTTATAAGGTTTTTTGCTTAATCTTGCTATTCACTTATAATATTAGGTTGGAACAAGTTAGAACAATAAAAATTCTTCTCTTAAATAATTACTTTATATTTTGCTTTATTTTTAATTTTATTTAGTAAATGTCCTACGAGCCTCACACTCCCAACCAA